TTGTCATATGCAGGAACATAACGTCGTGGAACACTCAAACTAATATAGACCAAGGAAAAAAGCATGATGAGGAAGATTGTTTGGCCGTCACTCATAGTCACGTCCACGCCCAACAGAAATATTCGGGGAGTACTTTCGTCATTTTCTTCCCCATCTCCTTACATTCTTAATTATGTTTTAAGACATTGAGTACAATGTCACGTTTAAGTTTGGGGGTGAGAAAAACTTTAAATTTTTTATTTTTCGTATGTTGTTGTGTGTTAAGTTAAAAAAAAAAATAGTCAAATTTTATTTATTTATTTGTTTATTTTTGGTTGTTGCTTGTATGGGTTAGACAGATTGGCTGACAATGATGATTAAATTTGAGGTTTGATATTGATTTATGAACCGTGGATAGGGAGCATACTAGATTGATTGAAACTTAAATTTGCAAAATTTGATATTATATGCGTACTAAAACTGAGTTTGACCTTGTGTTGAAATGAGTTGATTCATGTATTTGATAGATTAAGTTAGTTGGACATAGATGCTTTACCCAAACCATATTAATTATTTATCTTTAGACCAAAATTAGCACAATTTGGGGAGATCTTGCTATTGTAGGAAGATACAAATGTGAATGTGGATTTCTTGTGTGAAAAAGTTTTTTATGGATTGTCTGAGATTAATAGGATAAAATTGGGTGAAAATCTTAAATTGGAGGTCGGTTTGCTTGAATGGGTATATGATATGGGGTATTACACTGATCAAGACATATATTTTTAAATTTAAAACTTCTTTTTGAAGCCTTTATGATTCTAGTAATTAAGTCTACAAGGGCATTTTAAAACTTGGCGCCCTAAAGTCACATGACTTGGGAGTTATTGGTCTAAAACTCGCTACATGGGTCATTTAGAAAGCAATCAGATGTGAAGTTGTCCTAAAAAAAAAATTTGTTCTCTTCGAAATCTTTTTGACTTGGGTTATTAAGTTTGTAAGGGTATTTGAAAACCTGGTGCTCTAAAATCATCTGACTTGAGAGTCATTGATTTAAAGCCTGCTACATGGGTCATTTAGAAAGATTAAGGGAGAGTTCAAAAAAAAAAAAAAAAAAAAAAAAAAAAAAAAAAAAAGAAAAGAAAAAGAAAAAGCAAGTGTATGAAAAAAGTAAAAGCACTAAATGCCCTGTTAAGTCCCAACACTTGTTCGAGGGAATTTGATTCTCGACAAAGGATAATTAGCCTAATTAAATCTTGGTGGCTAAAGCAATCAAATAATTTGAGAATCCTTATTCATTAATGTATTGACTTATAACTAGAGATGTCCACTTAAATTGGAGAGGGTGAGGATAATAATGAAAAAATCAATTTTAGATCACACACTGGGAAAATAGTGAAAAAGAATAAGTTTTGAAGTGTATGAATCTTACGAGAGATGAAATGATATATTTGACCATATAAGGTTGGGAATTGGAACAACTTTTGAATTCATTAATGTCAACTTAGTTCTTCATACACACACATGTCGGTTTTACAATGAAAAAGTAGATATTAATTTGGTATCGTGATTCGTAATCTAATTCCGTTCATGTTGTTTGACAATTGATAACGCTAATTTATTCAATACTTTTTTCCATGACACACGAACATATGATTAACACGACCCGACTCCATTCCTACTCCGAATTCATATGAAAATCACGCATTTAATTTAGGTTATCTAAGTGATTGCATGTGTGAAAGAGATTATTCCTAATTCTAACTACACATGTTAATTTTGCCACATTCTAAACTTATTGTAAGTCTCCCAACACTACAACAAACAACTAATTATCTAATTGGTGACCAATCAATTAAATAATGCAATGGGTAAACAAAATTAATCAACAAACACAATAATTAAACTAAATTTCTTGTCTTTAACTAAAAAAATAAAAAAAAATAGGGTTCATCTCATCCAATATATGAAAGGAATTAACTTAACATGACGTTGGAATTAAACACATAAAAGAGGAAAGAGATCACAAAAAATTGACGAAACATTATAAAATTTTCCAATTTTCAGCCCAATTTAGCCGCTGCCTTTATTGATAGAGAAGTCTATTTCCAGTCTCTTTCGCAATTTCTGTTGTCCGGGATGTATTAGTATGCGTTCCAGCAGCAGCCACCAAATTTCCTCCAGCCTTTCTTCTCTTATTGCATGTGTGTCTCTCCCAGCTGCCGTCTTTTAAGGTATATATAATCAATTCCCCAAGACAGCCTTTTCCATGTGTGTTTAATCGTCAATTTATCCTTTTCTTTTTCAATTGCTTCAAAACTGGTCGAACACTTAAACGAGCAAAAATTAATCTAAATTAAATAAAATTCAATAATTTGACGACATAAAGATTTAATAAAATGATCTAATTAAGTATACAAATTGCACTCATCACGCTTGTTGCAATTAATTCATTAATGAGGCAAGTAAGGTTTCAGAGCCTGCAATTAATTCATTAATGAGGAGAACTGATAATCTTTACCTAGAAGTGAAATTGTGAAGGAATCTTGTGAGTGAAAAGATGAATATGGTTTCCCCGACTTTGAAGAAGTTGAAACTTTGATTTTCTTCTGTGGAGTATCTTATTGACACCACAACCTTCACTCCAAGAGGTGCTTTCAATAACTTGGAGCTCTGGGATTTACGCAGCCCAAGTCAGCTGATAGAGATATTCAGTGGAAATCTTCCTCCCGGGTCCTTAACTAAATTAGAAGAGGTATATCTAAAGGGCCTAACAGCAATGAAATTTTTGTGGAGCTGAAAGTCCGTTACTCTTTGACCTTAAGATTCTTAAAATGAGGGGTTGTCATGAAATTAAAGACCTCTTTCCAAAGTTGCTAAATGCCTAGTGGAACTCCAAATTCTAGATATATCTTGGTGTGAAATGTTAGAGGAAATTGTTTCAATAGACACAGAAAAAAATAAGTTACAGAGAGGCTCGAGTTTCCAAAACTTAACCGCCTCACAGAAATTTCAAGACCTTCAGGTCTGAATCAAATACCATCAGCACAGTAAACAACTCTAATGTTCTCCAAACATTGTTCAACCAGGAAGATTTATTTTATTTTATTTTATTTTATATATATATATTTTTTGTGGAGCTGTATATGTTTCAAAGGATCTTCTAGGTATTGTCATTATTAAATCCAGTGGAAGTAACTAATTATACAATTATAAGATTGTTCGATCAGATATAAATATTAAATGAGTGTGCCTTTCGGAGTTATATTTATTTCTCGGCGTTTAGTATTCTTCAAGCTGATAAAAGCAGCCACACCCTAACGAGCACTATGTGTCACTAATGCATGTTACATGTATTATAGGAGAAGACATCACAAATATCAACTAGATGCAGTAACTATGTCTAAATTCACCATAACAAAGCTGATGAAGGTTTCACAGTTTTTACACTCTAGTCCATAATTTTCCAAATCAAACGTGTTTTCCATATTTTCTAATAATGCATCTTGCGATTTCTGAAAGTTAATACGTAAAAAGAGTATGAAGCATCATTGCTAGAACGGCTAAATTGACACTGCAAAATTGAAGTCGAAAAGATGGAGTAATATGATGCAGATTCATGGCAGATACTACTGAGAAAAGTTTGCAGGTTATGTTGCCTAACATGGAAGTGTTGTTTCTCAATGGATTGGACTATACTTCAAAGATACTAGGTGAGGAAATGCAAATAAGATGTCCATCTAAACTAAAAGTCAGGACTGTAGAATATTGTAAGAATCTGTTGACCATTGCATAATCTGATTTGATTAAACTGTTACAAAATCTTGCACGTCTTAATATCAGATGTTGTGTAGCTGTACAACTATTGTTAGACTTTGAGGGTCTAAAAGTTACTGAAGATGACACAAAAAGTATACTTGGTCGACTAAGATCATTGGTGCTGAAATATCTACCTAAATTAGAGCACATTTCAAGGGTGGTTCCTAAAACAATTTGCATTTTCGAGAATCTGAGATCACTGGTAGTTGAAAACTCTGGCAGTTTGAGGTATTTATTCTTAACTTCAATGGTCAACTCGCTTGTGGATCTAGAAACTATAAGGCTTGAAAGATGTGATGTGGAGCAATGGAAGAGATAACTGGAAGCGAAGAAGAAACTACAAAGATTGAAATGGTGGAAGAAGTGTTCAAATCGTGTTTCCCAAATTGAGTTGTTTCCAACTTGTACATCTTAAAAAGTCTCAGAATGTTTAGCTCGAAAAACCACGAACTCGAGTTTCCTTCACTAGATAAATTGGTCATTAAACGTTGCCATACGACGACAAAATTCTTTTCATTACGTCTAAGTGCACCGAAGCTAAAGGAAGCACTCTTAGATCACCAATGTCTTGATATTCCCAATTTCTTGTTTGCAAGTGCATCGACACTAAAGGAAGTACCGTTAGATCACCAATGTCCTGATATTTCCAATTTCTTGTATGCAGGTGCATCTTCTTGATTCCCATTTTGCATTGTCATTGCTGTTCTTTTGTACACGGTGGATAGTATAAGATTTTCAATTGTTGATGCGATATGAGAACCTTACTTACGGTTCTCGTGCCACATCAACCAGTGGAAAATCTTATTTTGCTCATTGTGGATAGAAAAACAATTTCATTTGCCTTGTTTCTATCATCAAATTTAGATGCTATAAATATTTGGACACTATATACACATAAATTTTAGCATTTTGGTCTATTTCTCAGGCTCACAGCAATAAAGTACTCATTGATTCTAATGAAGAAACTTGGATGCAGGTCTTTAACCTTGGACCCTCTTTCTTTGTCAATGAAGAGCTGTTATATGTTTAAATCATTTGAACTCATGTAATAATACGCTTCGCCTGAGCTTTATTTAATTCAAAAATGGTCACTTCAGTAAGATAACAGTCACATTCTCCTAAGATAACATTTATGTTATATCATTCCCCAAGTTTTTAGTATAAAATTCTACCTTTTCAACTTTTTTATATCACAATTTAAAATAGATTAAGAAGCTAATTGCACAGGGTATACAAGGGACAAACCAAAGACAACTCGTCTCACCTTCAAGCTGTTTTCTAGTGCTAAATACATTTTTAATCTACTCTCAAATGTACAGTCCTCTAATTTCCAGTAGCACAAAATACCGGGGGAAACAGGAAATGGAAGTGAATACATACGAAAGCGAATTTTGTACGAATGACAACAGCTTCAACTTGCAGGAACCTTCTGTGCATTTAACGTGCTTTTCATGCTTCCTTGGGATTGGTCGGGATGACAACAGCTTCAACTTGCAGGAACCTTCTGTGCATTTAATGTGCTTTTCATGCTTCCTTGGGATTGGTATGGACAACCTTAACCCCTTTCAACACAGTCCAACAGCAATAATATGCAGTGAGAATGAATTTGTAGTTCAATCATATCTCAAGCCTTCTGAAATGCACGGGAAGAAACTCCATGTAGAAGTCTGACGAACCCTAAGAAGCTGAGCTTCCCATCTGAATGTCTTATCCAATCCTTAAGAACTACGTGAACAGGAACAGATGGACTAAGTCCAAGCTCCTGGTTTAAAAAAATCAGAAGAACGAAATCAGTAATATTTTCTACAGGGAGGGGGGAAAAAAAAGAATCTGCTACAAATGCATTTTTAACAGTCTTATTTATCTAATGCCATGATAAATAAAATTTGGAAGGATTTTCTTACTATATAAATTTTGGAAGGATTTTCTTACTATCGAATAAAAACGGTTGAATTTTGCTAACCTCTCATGAGGTTGCATATCTTCTTGTTGATCTTGATTGTTCATTCTTGTTTTAACGAATTGCTGTTCTTGTTGAGCTTGGTTGTTCATTATTCAATTAACATTGCCCAGTTCAGTCCAATGTTGTGTACAAACATAGACGTAACATTTCCGGATAATTAGGAAGAAAAAAAAGTTGATGGAAAGTCATCACTGTCGCAGCATCTCTTTTATATATTGTCATGCACTAGCAAATGAACAATTTAACAACAGCAGTTTTGGTAACACACTACACGTATGCTGTAAATTGTGTTTACCCACTTGTACATGATCAAATGCACATGCGCACACGTGGAAAAAAAAAAATGAGAGAGAGAGAGACGTACTGAAGCAAGTTCCTCTATCATAATTGGCCGGTTTCCATCCTTCTCAAAAAACTCATATGCATGACGCGCATGTTGCTCCCAGCTTTCCATTCCTTCCAGCTGATGTACGCTTATTGCAGATGCACAGAATTCTTCAAAGTCTAATTTTTGGTATTGCAGAGAACTCACCTACAGGACGAGTAGAAATGCATTCAGTAATTCTTTGTTTTAGGTTGACCAAGATTTGAATAATGACAGGCCAGTTAAACCTAAAACCAAGTACAGAACATGATAAAGGAAAGGTTGTTTAAAGCATTACCACATGGACATAATCTAGAACCCGTGAATCCTTCATTGCATCGGTGGAGTATTTTCCCACAGCCTGCTGATAATATTAATTCATAAGAAAGAATAATATCACAAGAGGGTGAGGGCGCAGATACAGCGTGAGTAAGAGAGAGAGAGAGGACCATTTTGAAATTCTGTAGGGATACAAATCCGCTTCTGTTTGGCCCTAACAATGTGAACTGCTCTTGGAGATAGGCTAACTGTGGTATTGTCAATGTTTTTGCAAGAGCCTGTTACAAATTCAAAACAGTTTCGTTTTCAGGAACTAGAATGCTAAATCATAATGCATTGTAAACATAGAAAACTCTTCTTATCCAAAGACACGAGGATCAAAAATCATTGTAATTTGGCATTGGTCTGAACTTTGACATTTGGCAATATTTAAAAAAAAAATAATAATAATAATAAAACTGTCTTTTCTCAGAGTGAAATCACACCTTCCACTAATTTGGCCAAAAGCTTCACAAGATGCATTTTTAGTTTTGAAAATTTATTTTTATTTTTATGTTTTATTTGAATTGTAACAAGTTGTATGGCAAAAAGGAAAGGAAGTCGATGGATATACATAGCAAAATTAAACAAATTAGATCCCCTTTTTTATTTTTTCACCAATCAACTCTGTATACGTACCCCCAAAGCTTCTTTCCTCAGAGAGGAAGAACATATATAAGCTTTTACAAGCTTATACGTTATCATATCCAGCTGTATCTTGACTTCATGATGACCAGCCAGCCACGGATGACCTAAATAATGAAATCAACAAACATTATTAGAATAACGTAGTCCCAACAATTTTTATTAGTTAACTCAAAAAAAAGGCACGGTCATCGTTTAAGAAAATTAAAGGACAATAAAGGCAAGAAGATATGCCTAACATCAACAGCAAAAATTGTTTTAATTAAAACTGTCCAACTCTTACTAAGTGCCTGAGCTGGTGTAAGCCTTTTACGATAATCCTTGTTCAATAACCTCTTCACAAAGTCTACAGCATCAGAAGACAAGGAAGGCCATGGGGCTTCATAAAAGCTTGGATCAGCCTTCAGGACAGCTCGAAAGATTCCAGATTCAGTCCGAGCCCAGAAGGGTCTGCTTCCACAAAGAAGAATATAAGCAATCACACCAATACTCCACATGTCCGCTTCGGTTCCATAAGACCTATGTAAAACTTCAGGAGCTACATAGTATGCACTTCCAACAATATCGTTCAGCCTTTCATCTGCCAATATAACCATCCATTGAACTCTAATCTACCATTATAATGAGCAGAACATAAAAAATATTTAGTAGTAGACTTGACCTGGCTTCACGTAATCAGAAAGTCCAAAGTCAATGGCCTTCAGCGAGGAATTCTCATCCTTCGAAGCGAAGAGAAAATTCTGAAGCAAAATTGAAAGGGGTGTTTAGAATAAAAAAATGAAATAATTATCACTGTAAGCAAATAAGAGAAAAGGAAAACTATCATCATATATTTATCCACATTTACTCATGTCAAAAGGGATGGAAACCAACAGGACTAGCTTTCATACCCCAATAAGTGGTTGATATACCGTACACCAAAATTATTAAACGCAATGACTAAAAATCGAAATTCCAGTAGCAGTTGCCGTTTATATATTTTAGATGAAACTAGCCAATTCTTTGTCTTTCAGAGAAGATAATACTTTAATCAATAAGTTTAAATTAGTATAATTTACAAAACAGAGGATACGTCCAGCAAGGAGATTCTAGGTGAGTTAGTCTCATAAATATTTATACTGAACCCACATTTTTTATTACAAGAGCTCTCACTGTGAAAATGGGAAGCCAGACTGGGGGATCAGAGTTTATATATATATATATATATATATAGCTAATATTTATTCAGTTTGAATTTGAAATGTAAACTCATGTACAAACATATACATACATACATATACATATATATGTATATGTATATATATAACTGAATAAATATTAGATTGATATAATTATTAAGTAGTTCACTTAATATACATAACTTCTGATTAGTTTCTCAATAAAAATACATGCAACTTCGACACATAGTCATCAATCGCAAAATGACAGAATAAGTTGTCCCGCAAAAGTGCCTGATTTAATAAAATGACTACCTATGCAGAATTTTGAGAGTTTTATATTATGTTATATTATATGACTTCCTCACAGCAAAATGTCTATCCCAAGGTAGTGTAAAAATCATTGGTTATGTTAGCATATTCAACAAGCTTATCAGAGAGTCCAGCATATTTACCCAGAAAACACAGTTTAATGCTTTAAGTTTTTGGAGACATAAGCCCTCAAGGCATGTTTGATTAACAGTATTAAACACAATTGCACAACATAATGGACAAGATTTTACCTCATTTTTCTTTTTCAACATTATTCAGTATTACACGTCCACTTGGTAAACCAAATATGTCACTAGCGCAACAAGAAAACAGTGAAGTTATAATCTTAGTAGTCGTATACCTCAGGTTTTAAATCACGGTGAACCACACCTTGCAGGTGACAATAAGCAACTACATTTAGAATCTGTACCATGACAGCTTTGGCATCTTCTTCGGAGTATTTGCCACCCCTTAAGTAAACAGATGGATTGTAAGAAGGATCTGAAGCAGGAAAAATTGTGCTAAATATTTAAATGAAAGAACATTATGCATACCTAGAAAGTATCCTATCTAATAATTCTCCTCCTTTACATAACCTGGAAAAGGAAAATAATTTAGTTGTAGGTATAAGCATCAAAATTCCAAATATTGCATTAATGGCTACGGAATACTTATTCAATTCAAGGCTAGGAAATATGTGTTCAATGTAAGACTATTTAAAAGAGTAGCCAACTATCTAATGCAAGTATAAAACTCAGTACAGCACGGGCCTAAATTGGATTGTATATAAATGTTTGAACATATAAAAAGAGAAAAATTAATTTTATCCTTGACTCCCCGTATCATATAAGTATGTTATAGAGTAGAAACAATGATAACAAACTTTAACTAAATAAATAAACAAGAAATTACAGCAAAATAAACAGAAAACGTTGAGAGTGAAACAGTTTATACTTACTCCATCACTACATAGACATTGTCTTCATCCTCATAGGCATCGTAGAATTGCACCAAGTTTTTATGTCCCGTGAGAGCACGCAATATCTTCACTTCCCTTCTGACGTCCTCTATTGCAATCGCAGTAGTCATCTGCATAAATTGTGATGCCAACTTCAATTTTCATCGTATTTAGCGCCCTTTTGAGCCCCTTTTTTTGTCCAAAATGCATTTTAGAATAGTATTTTAATGAAGAATGTATGCTTAAAAAAATAAGAAAATTTTTTAGATTTACATGTAGTATTATTTTGGACCATGCTATAAGTACAAAATGGGATACAAAATGGATTACAAAATCAACAAGTGACGGCCGCCGATTGCCAGCCGCCCCTCCAATAGGGGCCGCCACTTGCTGATTTTGTAACCTATTTTGTATATGATTTGGTACAAGTAGAATAATCCTATTATTTTATTAAAAAATGTGTGGTTGAAAATAAGAGAAAAAATGTATTTAGAAAACAACGGAGACCAAACAAGGGATTAGTTTTTCATAACCACGACCAAGGTAGTTTTGAGAATAGAAATGCTTGTAGAAAGATCCACCTCAAGCAAGACGCAACCAACATTTAAACTGCAGTTGTTATTGAAACACAATCTATATTCATCACCAAATGGCATTAGATAAATTAGCTTTAACCAATTAAGCAAAAACAATTGTAAAGAGATTTAAGTTGTCCCATTAAATACGAGACCTTAGATTTTGGGATAACTTTAACAGCCACATCCAGGCCCTTCAAGCTCCCTTTCTTTCCTTTCGCCAAACAAGTGTACCCAAAGTGCCCCCTTCCAACCTCTTCCCCAACCTCATAGTGGTTTGTGAAATTCTTCGAGAAACAGAAATTCTTATCCAGTCCAATGATCTCACATTCACTCCCTTCAGGTATAGTGGCCTCATTAGGCTTCACAGAGCCATGCCTCCTTGCAAGCAGAGCCTTAATATGCTTAGCTGGAGATGGCGGTGGAAATGGGCGCTTAAGGAAGCGCAAAGGAGTTGAAGTGACACTGCTAGAGTTTGCAGGGGAGTTCTTGAATGCACTATGCAGTGGACTTGGGCTATAAAATGGAAACTTTGGGGTTTTCCCAGTAGAAGAATTGAATGCATATTCATGGTTTTCACCTGAGATTATTGGATTTTCAGATAGGTTTTGCGGGGGCTCAATGGGTTTTCCATGACAAAGTCCCATGGATTAAGAACCCAATTGCCAGCAAATTCAAGAAAATAAGTAAAAATAAATAAATAAATAAAAATGGAAAAGTAAGAAGTACTGAAGTACAGAGGAAACTATACGATTTGAAGAAGAAATATAAATATTTCCAGGGAATTTGGATTTCAAGAAAGTTTATAATGCAGAAAACTATTATAAAAAATACTTGAAAAGTACAAATCTTGGTATCAAAAACCAATTAAGATGAGATTTTTAAGATTGATCAACAAAATCCACAAGGAGAAAACAGCAAGTTTCCCATGTAAGTTGAATTCCAATGAAAATCCAAGGAGGAAGAAGAAAAGCCCAGGAGGGAAAACAAATCAAAATTTTCGAAATACAAAGAAGGAAAAATGATTAAACTTTAAGTTGCAATGATTAATGCCGGAAAGATTTTAGAGAAAAAAAAGTTCAAGAAGAATCAGAGGGATGAGGAATTGATTTCAGCTGAAGAAATGAGGAGAAATTGAAGCTTTGGAATTACCCTCAAAGCAAGATAAACCTTGAGCAAAGCAAAGAAATGTACATTAAGAAGGTAAAGATTATGAACTGAGAAAAGAGCATGAAAGTGGGAAAGATACTTACCAATAGACCGCAAGAAAAGAGAAGTGAAGAAGAAAAAGGAAAGAAATCAAACCACCCTTTCTTCCTCTGCTTTTTCTTTTCTTTTCTTTTTTCATTTTTCCCCTCATATTTCTTTGTGGTTCTTCTCTTTTCATTTATTTAGTTTTTTGGGTGCTTTCATTGGGGATGAAAAATGGAAAATGCATAATTTGGGTAGAAAATTGGTCTTCAACATTTACATAAGCAAGTTTATCCTCAATTTTTATTATAATTGCATTATAAATTCGATAATGTAAAGTGCCAAAATTTTGTTAAGTCAACGTGTATATCTTACATGTCCATTTTCATAATACCATTTGAAAAAAAAAATACAGAGTTTATAGTGGAAAACATTTGATCTCTATCGTTGGGAAAAAATGAAAAATATTTAACTAGAATAGAAAAGTGAGTGCGCATATTATTACGATGGTATTATAAATTTTTTGTGCTTATACTCACTTGCATGTCAACCTTATAAAACTAGAGTTTTTTTGTTGATGAATAGAAATTTGAAGTGAAATGTGTAGAAATTTGAAGTGAAGTGTGCATATTTTACCACTATACTAATAGATTGAAGATCATCTTGCTAATTTTTCAAGATTAAAGACCAACTTCTATTTATCCAGTAGATGGGGACCAATTTGAGATTTCTCCTAACTGGTCATCATTTTGGTAGAGCCCCTATTATTAATTGTTAATAATAGTGGTGGGGTATTTGGTTTGGATCCTTCCAGCCTGTCCATATGTGTGTGTATGTGTGTAAGCGAGAGAGAGAGAGAGAGAGAGAGAGAGAGAGAGAGCAATGGAAACATCTGCAAACAACTAAGCTAACAAACGTCTCTGTAGTTTGAGCTTTGACGACCTTTTTGGGGTTTTGAATTTGCAATTTTTTAGACTTCCAAAAATGAAAATTTCAATTTTTAGCTTTTCATAGCAATAATTTGAAAAAATAAATTCAAAATTTAATCACTCGAGTAAAAAGCAATGGACATCACTCGACTTTCAACAAAAATTTGTTACACAAATAGTAGGGACGTATTAGGTACATTGTGATGAGTGATACTTGCACTTGTTATATTGAATGTACTTTTCATATTATAATTGTTTGGTACTTCGATAAGAAATCTAACACAAATTTGTGAGCTTAGTTTTAATAAATTATGATGTTGGGCAATTGCTATATGTTGGCTTTTCTTATCACTAATTCTTCTTGGCTGGGTAAGCTTGCAAAATTTCCTTACTACTTTACTTATACAATTAAAAATGCACATTTGAAAATAACTAATCTATTTACTAAATGCACATTTGAAAATAACTAATCTATTTACTGATTAAAGTTAAAAGTAAGTTATTAGTTTGAATATAAATTTTTTTACTATCAAAATATAATTAAAGTTTTAACTTATAAGTAAGAAAAAGTAAAATATTCAAAATTATCTTTAAGTGCAGCCAAACATGTAAGAGAAATAATGCTAATCTCGACTAGGCGCCAAGATGACTTAATTTTGTGGGGTAGCAAATAATTACTAATTAGTAGGTATAACTCATTTTCTCGTTTCCAATAATCCTATTCTGAAAATTCAATTCAATTATTCTACCAAAAAAAAAAAGTTGAACCCCAATCTTGAGAGCCCCCACTACCCCGCCACTAGAGTTTTGTAAGGGAGGTAAATTGCGGGATGTGTCCCAACAGGTCAGGGAACAAGAGCTGCCTGTGCACTGCGCCTACAAGAAGTCCAATTCCATGTTTCAGAAATCGAACACCCACACTCCAACTGTCAGCAAGGCATGAGATAACCTCACTCCTATCCTTTGCACCACTAGACTATGCCCCGGGGGCCATAGGGCATGTGGTGTTAGATGAAATTGAAATGTACAACATGGTATGAAACAAATAACTATTTCAAAAAATGTGAAACTTAGAAATAACATTTGTGTACAGAACAAAAATGACGAAAAAAATACATTTAATTGATTCAAATAGATGTAATTTTTAATTTATGATGGTTTATATGAACAATAAATTAGTTGAAGTACTACAGTACGGCCAAAATCGAGAATCAATTAATGAACATGCAAATCAATTAATTATAATTATTTTGTCACCCACCCATTGATACATTTCATAAAGATCTCCCATCCATATTCAACCATCACAACAGTTGGTATTAACACCCGTATGATAGTTTATTTTCTTCTCCTATTTGTTTTATTTTATAATATAACAATGATGATGCATTTCACTTGATGTGTGTATAAGCAGCTTTTAATAAGCTTGGCCGTCTATAAGCAGCTTTTAATTAATGTCATTTTCTTAATCCAATTTAATCGACCTTGAATGTGGTCAAGTTGAAGGGGAATAACTTCCCAGTCGGTCCTTGGGACGGAAGCCTCCGCATCACGCATCCCGGCGATAGGCAGAGACCAAGATTTTACCACCAGCTAGAAGGTTTTAGTACTTTTGTTAGCCGGGCCTATGTTTCATATTAATCTCTCACCTTGACACTTAGCTGAAAATACGTCGGATGATGGATTTGCAGTACGTCATTGGAGTTGTCAAGTGATTTCTCGACTAATGCTCGTTTAAAATCAAATCAGAAAAGAAAACGAGACAACAATAATTAAAAAAAATATATTATATGACTTTTAAATTTAAATTCCAAGTACCATCTTTATATAGACAAGCATGTGGCGAGGAGTTGTTCAGATCTAGAGTTCATGAACATAATATATCGACCTTCTTACCATGCTATATTTTAACATTTGACGACATCCCCGGCCTGATGCTAGTGAATGAGAATTTTTATGAAGTTGGCTTTAGTTGTTGGATATATTGTTGTGTGTGAGCTAGGAGGAAATGTAACGTCCCGACCCGTAAGGATCGGAACGTCGCTAGATTAATTGTACTTTTAGCCGTAAATTTAAAAAAATAGCTAAACTTTTAGAGGAAATTATAAAGATTTAATTTAAGAATATTTTTTTTAAAGAACAATAAATGACAATATAACTCAATACAAAAGAAACTAATTCCTAATATTTTCAGGTGACATTCATGCATAAATACATTTTTGTTACGTGAAATTCAAGGCAAGAATTAAAAAAATAAATGTTGTTGTTTGACTTTCCATTTTTGCTCAGTAAATCTTAAAGTAAACTCGTTTACATAGTATTTTAGGTCGAAATTTTACGGAACTTTAAGATAAAGTAGGGAACTTCTCATAATATAACATATCCAAAATTCAGCTTTCGTCGGCGACATATAAAATGTTAAAATATTTTTCCAAAATCCCGCTAAAACTATAAACAAGACTGTTTTATTTTCTATCTCGTATGGTAACTGACAAAATAAATTCGTTTGCATAGCAATCGACCCCGAAACTTCATAAAATTTTATTTTAAGGTAGGAAACTTCTTACAACATGTCATATCCAAAAATCGGCTTCCGTCGGCATTATACAGAATATTAAAATATTTTTTTTCAAAACCTCGCAGCGACTCGATTTGGGAAGTAACCCAGCGCAACATACTTATGGTGGCATATAAAATTTCATAGTTATTGGATTGACATGATTTTGAGTTTATTCAGTAGCTAATCGATGAGCTATTAAATCCCACTGGTTTTGTCCAAAAATTCCAAGTAACGATTGAGTTACGAATTTTTAAGTTCAATGGTAGAAACTGTAATTTTCAGAAAACAGCAACACTATTTTTACTTAAAGTGACATATAAAATTTTACCAATATCGGATTGACATGATTCTAAATTTATTCAGTAGCTAACTTATGAGGCTATCAAACGCCTTTAGCTTTGTTCAAAAATTCAAAGCAACAAATTAGTTATGAATTTTTAAAGTCTGAGCAGAAATTGAAATTTCTAAGAAAACAGTAACATTAAATAGTTGACATTTTTTTTTTTTGTGTAGACGGTGTTTCGTAAGTAAATTCTAGATCACATATATATATTTTTAAACATAACCTATTCATAAGAAAATGGTCGTAGAAATAGTTTCATATACGATGTCCATAGAAAAGCAATTAAAAGGAAACGCAAATATTTCATAATCAATTTAAAGTTGTTAATTCACCGGCTTTTCCATGGCAAATTACATTTTCAACTACCATCATCCGCGCCCCCAACAAAAGAACAAAATCAACCTGTAAGAAGGGATTTAACCCATGAATTTGAAACTCAATTGATATCATCGGTGCACTTAGTAATCAAATTAGAAAAATTCGAACCATGGATTCATACATTTGCACGTAGATGGATTTTCGGCAAAATTCGATATCTATAACATTATCATAATACGTAGAGCCGGAGAATGATCATTTAAACTATAATAGTGCCGAAGCACCATACTCGGAGGTACCATTTTATTCAACTTTTAACGAAAAATCAAATTTGAAAAAGAAATAACACTTGCACCTCAACCTACCTTCGTTTGACGCTTTTGAATTGATGAAATTGGACGTAAATATTGTTTCCCGAATGATACCAATGCTCTTTAAAAAATCTGCCTCAACTTTCTTTCTTTTACTTGGAATATTTTTGGTTCAAAGTGTATGTTTCAATGAATATATTACATACATATATATCTATATATGTTGGAAAGTAAAAAGATATAGGAATTGAAGAGAGGTGGCTGATTGCCTTCCCAAAATAATTTGATAGGTTGATGTGTAGGTTTCATTCCAAGTTTCAAATATATAGAAATGATACAAATTCAAACTTGACTATATAGGGACCACAAAAACGTGTGTGTGTGTTGGAAAGTTTAAAAGA